CCACCAGAGTGGTGAGGGGCAGAATCGCATGAATAGCAGCCCTTGCAGTCAATCAGCAGCATGGGGGAGCCTCACCACAAAAACCCATGAAAATGGTGGCACATGCTGCAATAGACCGCAGATTGCCCCCTGCCTCCTCGATTTTGGTAGATCAAAGATCACTATCTACCAAAGCAGGGCTCTCCAACTGCTTGACCATGGGCTGCATTTGGCCCATAGGAGTCCAGCAGGTGGCCTGTAGTGCACAAGTGTCATGGGTAGCTAACATATGGACGAAGCGGCCTGGCAGCCCCTTGTGCCAGTGTCTCCCAGTGCCTCATGGTGGAGAATAACTCACATGATGGGAGGTGGGGTCCACATGCAGTCAATGCAGCCTGAGCAGTGGTGGGGATCCTGGGTGTGGCTGCCCCCACAGCATGCAGCCTAATTGGTATGTGGCCCAGAGGCTGCGTGCAGGCACCACATGTGGCCCCCAGCCATGTCAAAGTGTCAAAGTCAAGCAACCCTGAAGTAAGTTGACTTTGGGTATTTTCTGTACCTTTGTTTGAAGGATGTTGGGAATGATCTTGGAAGAATCCCAACCCTTGTACCATTTTGCTAATGTATTATATTTGCACAGACAAGTGCCACCATTATCAAAAATAACAAGGGATTCAGAATGCTCTACTTTTTAAAAACTCAAATGAGACAATTTAAAATGTTTCCCTTTTTACCAAACGTTAACTATTTATCATTGTGGAGGATAATTTTGCACCCACAATATCTTGCAATGGATTGGACAGCTGTGAAACCTAGTGTGCTAATATGAGTAGCTTTAAATCTTCTCTTACCAAGATTACTACCTTTGCTTTAAAGTTAACCACTTTCCGATGTGGTCCTCAGCAAGAATGGCAACAACATGAAAATATCCCCAAAGTAATCTATTTTGATCATTGCAATTTCTGATTAATGTTATTGTGTCATTAATTCAATGGCTACCATGTCTGTCAAGCAAATGGTTTTCACATAAAGTAGATAATCACCTCAACTTGATTCAAATTAGAATAAAATACAGCTACATTGTTGAATTCTTTAATTACTGGGACTCAAACAATCAAATGCAACAGAGCACATTTTATTTTTATGAATGAGTCATTGCTCTTTTGTTCATTTAGGAGAAGGCAGTTAAGGATTTTGCTTTCAATTTCCTATTTACTTTTCAGAGATTAAATTAATCCTTACATTTAAACATTTTTGCACCTTACGTTAACTTAAGATTATTTCTTCTTTACCACTTGTTGGAGCTGTGTAGCATTTCAGATTTCAGGAAATGTTTTTCAGGTGATGCAAATTTTTCCCAATAAAGTAAAGAAGACATTGTCTCCCAAATGTACTATGTATTAGAGAGGCATTCAGATCATCAGATAAACTAAAAATAACCTTTTTCCTTCAAGTCTTCCTTGCTTTCTCCCTGCATTATGCTGACATTGCTGCTGCCAAAGACAACACTGAACCATGAAGTTGACAGAGAAGAGTGTGTGTAAGTTGCTGTGTAATTACTATAATTTAAAGGAATGTAAATGATTGAGCTAGGTCTACATTTATTTTGCAAAAATATAACAGAGCCAGTTCTTGCATATTATTTCCCTGTCCTCATACATACACAGAAGTGTCATGGAATGAAAAGGGTTTTTTAGTGTGTTATTAGAATGCTTTTGTATAAAATATTGAGGGCCAGATCCACATGGTCTCAATAGGGCTTAAGTGGGATTTAACTCTGGCCTATGGAGCAATTCAAATTAGCCTAGTACCAGTACATAAAAACCTGTTATGCACTGAAGTCCACCATGCGCCTCCCTTTGTCCCCAGGTGGCAACACTTAAGTGCACATGTCTGCACAGAAGCAATGCAGAACATGCACTTCAGCGGCTTGCTTCTGCCAAAGCTCTAGAGTGAATCTAGCTGGCCCTGGGAGGTAGCTAAGTTCTGCTCAAGTCCCTGGAGAAGCCCACAGCAGCAGAGCAGCCCTAACCACAACTAACCCTCTCTGTGACCTGGCAGTCCATCCTCACAGGCAGTTCACCAATATATCATGGGCACACATACCATGGCCAGAAAGAGCAGGAAGACCACCAACAGATGGTAAATGAATGCTAGGTGTACCAGCACCAGCAGTGAGCCAGAGATGGACAGAAAGGGTCATCTGAAAGGGATTTCAAGGTAGCCATAAGGCAGACAGATTAGCTGAGTAGGGACAGGAAACAAGTTAGAACTTTAAGGTATGCAGGGACAGAATTAGGGAGAGCTAGAATAGTGAGACATGAAAGGGAAGGGTACCCCATATAGAGCACCTTAGGAGGCTGGGAGGAACATCTAGTGGAACATATGGGAATAGGGAGGGACAGCATGAGTTGAGTGAGTTGGTGGAAGAGGTGGAAAGTATGTATGCACACTACCAACTACACGTGCCCTAGGAGATGAATCTTAGGCATATATTGAATGCTTCCATACCTAATAGCTGCACTGTAGCTTCAAGTCTAGAGGTGATTCCTGGAGAAAGGGCTCATCTTGGCCAGCCTCTGTGACCTCCTGGATTTCAGTCCTGGTTGCTACTCCAGATGTGCCATATCTCTGAGCCTGTGTAAGTCAGCACTGCCCTGACCATCCTGGCCTTGGCCTCCTTTCAAGCAAGTGGCTGAACAGACTATTCAAAATCAGCCAGACTGCAGCCTCTAGGACACTTGAATAGTTCTTGGAAGCCATCATTGCTATCCCAGCACAGGCACCCACACAGACATATGTGGTAATTATTAGGGTGCAGTTCCTGGCCATTCTGAGCCTCATGGATGGTTTCTGTATGCTTGTCACCAGTCCTGAAAGGATGTTCATCCATACATTGGCCAGCAGTTTTATGTATGTGCTGAACATGATACCTCTCTGCAACACCTACATGGAAATCATGGACATGATCATTACCATACTTATTGCATACCATATGCAACCTTTTCCCAAAAATGAACCTCTTAAAATGGGGAAGCTGATTTTCCTCCCAGAATAGGAACACCCCACTTTCACAGCCTTGCACACCACTTTTAGCTCTTACCAGAATCACAGATCTGTCCACGGAGACCAGTTTTCTGCAACAGCTGGTATCAGCTCTTGGCTAAGCAGGAAGAGGAGGGTGAGCCAGCTGAATAGATTTTAGCCCTGCTCTATGCAGACATAATTCTGGAAAGAATCTTTTTTTTATTTTGCCTTCCCAAAAACAAGGTGTTCATCTCATCTGGAGGTATCTGGCATACAAGAAACCAGTAGTGTGGTCTCTACAGCTGCCTTCATCATGGAGATTCCCTCAGGACTGGCTACTTTTCCTGCAACGCTTGCCTTTCCCCCGGCCCAGGGTTTGCCCAGATACAAGTGGCAAGTCTGCTGCACATCAGACAACTTTTGGAGTCCAGGACATACAATCCTAGAGACACAAACCCTGCCCTGATGCCATGGATATGGACGATCCTGCACCATCTCAGGATGAGGTGGATGTTTCCAGCCATTTGGCAGTGGCGGGGCTCTTAGGGCTGGAGGACTCACGGTTCAGGGATGGCTTTTCTCAGTTTGGCAAGGCATGCTTCTCAGAGGCAGAAGGGGATTCCCAGATATCTCAATTCTAGCACCCATCAGGCACTAGCTGTTATGGGAGAGAATAAGAGAATGTCAAGCTGTAGAACAGATGAAAAGGTAATCGGTTATTTGTGTTTTTTCCAGCAGGTCAGCTACAGGATTGCCAATCTTAGGGATTCCTGGAGAAGCCTGTGATCAAGACTATGCAAATCCAGCAACATGTTTGACTTACTTTCTTGGAAAGCAGAGGAAAGGAGAGGGGAAGATGTGGGTAATGTTATGGTGCCCCAAGATCATTCCTTCATGCTTAAGGAGGCTGCATTTTGTGCATACTCACATCTGGCCTCTACCCCTTGTGTGTCACATCAGTGTTTCACTCACTCATTACAGTACGGCTGACTAACGTGGTCCCTTGGCCCAATTCCTGGAGATATGCAAGGAACAGTCCCCTGAAAATCTAGTCTGAAATGCCCTCTCTTATGCTATACTAGCCTCTCCAAGAAAACCTTAAGCAGGGAATTCATCCTTTCAGAAGGTAGAGCAAGTCCTTGTGCTTTCATTGAGATATCTCCTATGGGTGTCTTGGAACTACTTCTGAATACAAGCACTATTCTGTGAGGTCCATCAGTAAGTGGATGTCTGTCCTATTTGAGATTTAAGACTCAGTGCTTCTCTCACCTGCTAGTAGTTCAATGGGATAGGAGACATCCTGCCTGGGCCCATTCTGCTTACAGACCAGTTTGGTATATCAATGTGAATTAATAATGCTGAATTAATTCTTCATTAATAGTATGAGGAACCTAGCTGCCTAACGTGGTCAGTTTAAATCAACTTCTTTCCCAGGCATGCAAGAGTTAGTCAAGCTACCCAAATCAAGGCTCCTATGGAAATAATTTGTAACTAACCCAGAAGGTCTGCATCTTGGTACCGAATGAATATTATTAAACATAACATTACGAGCATAAACATATCTAAAGTGGCCACTAATTGCAGTCTGAATTAAGGTATGAAGGAATAAGTAGTCATGGAAACTAAACTGGAGAGCTTTCCTACATTACAAGAGAGGCAGATTAATTGGGCGGTGTGGAAAAAAAATTATCCTGCAAATTTTTTCCTGTACCTGTGGAGGCCTCCAATGTGGCCAGTCTAACCTAATCAACCTTTTACAAACACCAGGTGCTCTTATTTTTGTTTAAACTGTGATTCTGCCCATTAATTTGTGAATAAAAGCCTAATGTGATGTGACATGCCGCAGACAGAAGTAGATGATTAATGTCCCAATTTCCAAAAATGTTTCTACTGAAATCTGGCTCAAGTGTTCTTATTAAAAACACTTCCAAAAAGAAAATACTGCAAAATTAAAAATGTTATTTCCTATGCAATAAAATATATAGGGAAACAGGTTGATTATAATCCAGTCCTTTATTATACATTTTCTTAATAATATATTTGTATCTGGGGCATGCACAATAAACATTGCCACAATTATATTCACTACAGAATTACAATGAAAAGTCATCTGAAACCCAGACTTCTTGGCTTTTTTGAACTGTGTTTAATCTTGTTGAAACCTTATTTAAAATGAAAACTGGTTTTCCTTGATTTGTTAGACTTTCCACAATATTCCACATCCAAAAGTTACCACATAAAATTGGCACAAATGGCAATCTTTGCTCAAAAATTACATTACACAAAGAAGGATGTCACTGGTGAATAAAATAGCAAATCTGTGCTGATTCATGTCTGGTAGGAAATAAGAAAATTCTTTTTCTAGCAATACAACATGGTTGATCTCAAGAAACAAAAAGTAAATATCATAATCAAAAATCAAATCCTTATATTTCTAAAGTTTACTCGGTGTTGCTAAGGGAACGGAAGTGATGGCTTCTTCCTCTATGGAGGATCGTCATGCTTCAATTTATAGGAATCATATATGATCCAGGAATGTTGAGTCATAAAAATTAAGGAAATTCAGAAGTAAAGCTAAAATTCTATCCTTAAAATGCTGCACTAGGAATTGAGTCCTGTACAGAACTTCATATGAAACATGGCTATAAAATTCTCAACTGCAGTGGGTGAAATCAAGGGCAGAGTTCCACCTTATATCTGAATTTCACTGTTAAAAGTTCAGTCAGATTCACAAAAACAAGTTTGAAATTATATTCCTGTTGTGCATATTTTAGATTTTTGTTTTAAGGAAAGCATTTGTTTGTTACTAACCCCCTAGATATACATTTAATCAATACTCATTTATAATTCCTTTCTGTCTAGACTAATGGCTCTGGAACTTGGGAAAAGAGTATACGTACACACATATACTTGGAATAGAATACTGTACGACTGAGACAATGGAGTTTTTAATGTAATAGGTACACTCCTAATGCTATCAGTGTGTAGCGTGGTGTTCATTAGTTTTATTATAAACCTATATTAATATAACCAATATAACACAAAGTTGCTGATTTTCAAATGTTAACACGATAAAAGAATACTACATGTGAAAGGCTCTAGAGTAAACATCTGGAAGAAAAAGGCCCCAATTCATGCACAGACTATTACAAGATGCAGGATCAATTTCCTATACTTGAATGTCAGCATCCCGCAACCCTAACTCTAAAGGCATGACCTCTAAAGGCAAGAGGGTACTTCATCTTCCATAGGCAAGTTCAGTCCTTGGGCATTCTGGAGAGTGCTAGTAACACCAAGTAGTAAAAATTGTTAGCATCATTTTTGTATGGGTTCTTCTTTACAGGAAAGGGAACTTGGCATACCTGGCCATTCATAGGTGTGGTGCTGTTGAATCCCTTGAGCTATCTACTTCTCTACATTTCTTTAACCCATGTACTAAGAAAAACAAAAAGCAAAACCCCAAATATAACACCACATCAACTTGATTTGCACCACTAATGCTTCCATTTTCCTCTTAAGTTATGGACCTGTTGAAATACAGGAAGGCAGCTTTTAATCTTTAGATTCCACATGTCAATCAAGTTTCAAAAAAGGAAAAGAAATTAAACTCAGAACTGTGTCACTTCAACAAAGAATCATTAAAAAAAATTACTAAAGCACATCTCATAAACATTTGGGAACCATGCCACTTCTGCATTAGATCTTATTCTAAACAAAACAGAAAGAGACAAGAAAGGAAGAGGAACACAGGAGAGGGAAAATTGAGTTTGATTTCTTCAGCACAGCAATTTGACTCATATGTGCATGCATAAGTTAAAATGGACATCTAGTTCCCTCTTAAAATGTATAAACTGGGCATATGGTCAACATGTCCAGAATAAAGCAATAATGAATGTTGACTATAAGTGCATTAAATTAAAAACCTGCTGACAAATAGGTAGCTAAATATACCTAAAGTATACACATATTGCCACTTCTTATCATTGAGTAAGTTATTCTTTTTAACAAACCTTTAATATTAAACTGATTGCAGTGATAAATGGTCTCCCTCTCATGAAATGCTGTTTCAGGGAAGAGTTTTATGGAAATATATTCAGAGTAGGCAGAGATGACTAATCACTAGAAAAACTTTGATCAGCAGACTGACAAACTGTACCATCCTGTAAGAATACTTTGCATTTTAAACAGGCATTAGTTCAGATGTTATAGTATATTTTAACTCAAGGCTGCTGTAAAGCCATATATCTATGTTAAAGAATCAAAAAACAAGTGCAACAATTGATGCATCACTTTTTCATTTTTGTTTAATTTAGTAATAGTAGAATGAAATGGTTTCAAAGCAAGCTCTACATTATTTCAAAACGCAATCATATATTTAACATAATTTTGAAGAAAAAAACTCTTCACCTCATTAAACATTACACACAAATCAATTTTAAAACTGTACATGTTATTTTTTTTCAGGAAACAAGCTAAAGAACTGTACCACAAGGAATTAAGAATACTTTCTGTATTCTGACACACCACAAATTATAATTCATTTGTTGATTGTTACAGGGTTTCAGGACACAAAACTTCATGCAATAATATCTGGAAGAAAATGAAAAATAAAAAGGAAAGAAATGGATATATCCAGTGCTAAATGAAAACACTGAATTCTTTAAATAAAACAAATGCCATTTTGATCAGTCAAAAACATTTATTGTCTTTCAACTAAATGGGCCTCAATTACTTTGTCTCTTGGAGACAACTCTCTTGAGAGCTTCCCTGTTTCCTATCTACTAAAACCCAGTATATTTAATTCCTTATTGGTTTCTACAAAGATGGCTCAAGGCAGCTGTATCCTTGTGGCTTCTGAATCAGAAAGTGCATCTTCTTGAATAGAAGGCTCATAATCGCCTGCATTATCAACCAATTCAACATCTTGCTCATCATTACTCTCAGCACTGTAATCAACTTCTTCTAGGAAGCGAGGCTCATCTTCATCCAGAACATATGTAGTTGGGCTGTATAGAAACACCATACAGAGTTACATTAATCATTTTAAAGGGTTTATTATGTTCAGCTATACTCAGTTAGACCATTGTACCTTCCCTACCTGAAACTAAAATAATTTACAATGATACTTATAACATGAGAGAAGCAGGATAGCTGGAACATAACGAGAGTTACTTTAACCAAATGAAGACTTAAAATAGCATTTTTAGGGCTGCCGAGATGAGTGTGGGCTCATAAAAGGACACGCTATACAGCTCTGATTTAGTCAGTATATAAGGTGCAAATCTACCCTGCCTTCTGCCTGACTTCAGACTAATACAGCTAACTACTACTCTACTAAATTAATGCCAAGTACATAAATATATAACATAAACATTTGTGTATATAAATTGCATATCAAACATACACAATACACATACATACACATATACACACAGGTTAAACACTGACTCAGGTGACAGTGTGTGTGTGTTGGTGCCTGTGGTACCTGTGCTTGGGAT